AAGATGTATATTTTTTGGTCAAACAACACCCTTCGTCATTTTAATTGACAGCGGGGAATAAGATGAACAGTAAGACACAATTAATTACTATTTTCTATTTAAACTTGAATTTATGTCATGTAATGTTATTTATGTAACATATATGTTTTCCTTTTTAATTTGTCTCAAAGGAATTATTTTTTAAATATTTTTAAATAATTTAAATTTAAACTTCTTATTTTACGATACTATTTTATAATCAAATAAATATTATGATACATTTATAATCACAAGTTTTATAAGTTTTTTTTCTTTTTTAAATTTAGTGTAGAGTCATACGTTGTACATAAAATGAGATAGAGTGAGAAATATATAGTTAAATATCACTTCAAAGCCGAGTTAGAAGTCATAAAAAGCAAAAGAATGAGCTTTAGGCGCAGTAAGGCCGAAATATGATGGGAAGAATGGAAAAGACAACATTTGTGACAAGGAAAGGCACATGCTCTCGTGTCGTCTCCCCATGCAAGTGTATTCCCTCTGTTTCAATTTATTTGAAGTAATCTATTTCAACTATGTGATGATAAGACATTTAAAATTTGTGATTTTAAATTTTTTATAATAGTTGTGTGACTATAAAAAATTTTCATTAAGGATAAATAAGTAAATAAAAAATTTAAAATTAAATTACATCCAAATATAAAAATGAATCATTCATTTTTTAGCTCTCTTCTTAGTCCTTTTTGTTATAAACCTGTATTCGTAAATAATTTTTTTTTAAAATAAAACAAACAAAAGCAGAAATAGAATAGAAACAGAATAAATAAAGTTTCGAGCCCAACAGAAAATTGTATTTCCTTAAGGAATTTAATCCCCTCACTGTTGCCCAAGGTTGTTGGATTAATTCCTCCCAGGATAGAACGGAACAACTATTCTGTAATACCGGCAATAGAAATTACAAAACTTCATCGAACTCAACAAACGATGAGGCAAAACCTATGATTTTATAACCAAACAGTCTGGGCTGAATAGATGCGAAGTTACATGTTCATACGAGGTACCATTTCGGAAGAAGTCTGGTCGAGAATTTTAAACTCAAAACGACAGTTGGGAACTGCGAATTTTAAATTAAAATTCCGCAAACAAATATTAGAAAAGAAATTATATAACAGAAAATGAAAAATGAACTTGGTCCAAAAAATTATCAATCAATCTTATCAATTGACCAAATTCGAATCCGAAGCCGAAGCCGAGCCGAGCGAGCGATGACGACGATGGCGCGAGGCACCACTTCTTCTTAACTCTATAAGAGCTAGAAAATATGCTTCTCTATATAAGCACAAAGATTTTCTTTCTATTTTTCGATGAGGGACAAAGTGCATTAGTTAAGGAAACAACTTCAAACTTTTCGTTTCCCTCCATTTCCCATTCACACCTCTTATCTAATTAGATAAAAAAAAAACCCAACAATCCCCCACATGAATGGGGAATGGCTATCTGAAAATATGCATGTATGAAAAACTGTGTGATTTACAAGCAAGGATTAATCGCATCTGGATAAGTTGGTTTTTCTTTGAACTTTCCTTAGTAAACTTATGTCGGATATACTCGGTCAATCGGTATGATATCTTTGAATCGTCGAATTTTGATGTATACCTAGACAATCATAAGTCACACAATCAACCCTTTAACCGCCTTTGGTTCTCATTGTTGTGTTCGTTTCATCTATGAACACCGCCTGGTTCATAAGTGCGTAGAGAACTGACCTTACAGAATTCTCCTTGAAGCGGCTTACACTTCACACTTATATAGGTGATTCCTAAATGTGTTATCCCATAGATACACTATTTGATATACTCCGTATCAAACTTAAAAACCATTAAAAAGCCTTAACGTTTTATCCTTGATACTGAACAATGTCTCATCACGAGAATAAACCAAAATTTTATTTGACAATGTTGAATCGTCACTAATAACTTTGTTTGATCTCCTTGAACCTAGATCTTGAGATCTCTAGTCTTCTAGGTAGAGTTACCGCCACAGTGAATTGTCATCGGCCATAGTCCCATTCCCTTTGATGATTTATCAATCGCCTCTCTATTTAGGCCTTTTGTAAGCGTATCTGACACATTATCTTTTGACTTTACGTAGTCAATTGTGATAATTCCACTAAAGAGTAGTTGTCTAACGGTATTATATCTTCATTATATATGACGAGATTTTTCGTTATACATAACGCTTCCAGCCCTTCCTATTGCCGCTTGACTATCACAATGTATGCATATAGGAGCCACTAGTTTGGGCCACAATAGAATATCTTCCAAAAAATTCCGGAGTCATTCAGCTTCTTCTCCATCCTTATCTAAAGCTATAAACTCAGACTCCATTATAAAGCGAGCGATGCATGTCTGTTTACTTGATTTCCAAGACACTGCTCATCCGCCAATAGTAAACACGTATCCACTTGTGGACTTTGTATCTGATGACCCTATGATCCAATTTGCATCACTATATCCTTCAATTTCCGCATGATACTTATTGTGGTGCAAAGCATAATCTTGTGTATGTTTTAGATACCCCAAAACTCGTTTCATTTCCATCCAATGAGTTTGGCCGGGACTACTTGTGTAATGACTCCGTTTACTTACTGCACAAGCTATATCAAGTCGTATACAATTCATGATATATATTAAACTTTCCAACACTCGAGCATAATCCAATTGAGATTTGCTTTGACCTAGATTCTTTGTAAGAGCCATATTTACATCAATCGGGGTCTTTGCGACTTTGAAATCTAAATACTTGAATTTTTCAAGTACCATTTTAATGTAATGAGATTGAGACAATGCCAGTCCTTGAGGAGTCCTATAGATTTTAATTCCTAGAATTAAATCAGTAACTCCTAAATCTTTCATATCAAACTTACTAGCAAGCATACACTTAAGAGAATTTATATCCGCAATGTCTTTGCTCATTATTAACATATCATCAACATATAAACATACAACGACTATATGATTCGGAGTGTTTTTAATGTAAACATATTTATCACACTCATTAATCTTAAATCCATTTGCCAACATTATTTGATCAAATTTTGCATGCCATTGTTTGGGTGCTTGTTTCAATCCATAAAGTGATTTAACAAGTCGGCACACCTTCTTTTCTTTTTTGGGAACCACGAACCCTTAAGGTTGTTCCATATAAATTTCTTCCTCTAAATCTCCATTTAAGAAGGTTGTCTTTAGATCCATCTGATGGATTTCAAGACCATACACGGCGACTAATGCTATTAACATCCGAATAAATGTAATCCTCATTACTAGTGAGCATGTATTAAAATAATTAAGACCTTCTCGTTGTCTAAACCCTTTGACAACTAATCTTGCCTTATATTTGTCAATAGTACCATAAACCTTTATTTTTCTTTTGAAAATCGTCTTAGAACCCAAAGGTTTATTTCCTAGAGGAAGATCAATCAATTCCCAAGTATGATTACTTAATATGGATTTTATCTCGCTATTGACTACCTCTTTCCAATATTGTGCTTTCGAAAAAGACATTGCTTCTTTAAATATTTGAGACTCATTTTCCAACAAAAATATCAGAAAGTCTGGTCCAAAGGAAGTAGTTGTCCTTTGACGTGTACTACGTCTTGGATTTTCCTCGCTAAATGCACTTTCCTTTGCTTCTTTTCGAGGCCGCTTAGATTTTTTACTAGGCGGCTCGCATTTATTTTTATACGGATAAATAATCGCAAAGAATTCAGTATTATCGGATTCGATTATCGTATTATTATGAATGTCAGGATTTTCTGATTTATGAACCAGAAAACGATATGCCTTACTATTTCTTGCTATCCTAAGAAAACGCAATCAACCATTTTTGGTCCAATCTTCACCCTTTTGGTTTATGAAATTGTACTTTAGCCAAATACCCGCATACTTTAAAATATTTTAAGTTGGGTTTCCAGCCTTTCCATTTTTCATATGGAATGGTTTGCGTTTTGCTATAGAAACTCGATTGAGTATTTGGTTAGCTGTAAGAATAGATTTCCCCCACAAGTTCTGGGGTAAACCCGAACTTATAAACAAGGCATTCATCATCTCCTTTAACATTCTATTCTTTCTTTCTACAATTCCATTAGATTGCGGTGAGTAACGGCAGTTGTTTGGTGAATAATGCCATATTCCAAACATATTTCTTCAAAAGGAGATTCATATTCGCCACCCCTATCACTTCTTTATCATTTTGATCTTTTTGTTTATTTACGTTTCAACTTCATTTTTGTATTGCTTGAATGTCTCAATTGCTTCGTCTTTACTATTAAGTAAATAAATATAGCAATATCAAGTACCGTCGTCAATAAAAGTTATAAAATATTTTTTCCCACCGCGAGATGGTATTGATTTCATGTCGTAAATATCTATGTAAAATTAAGTCTAAAGGATTTGAATTCCTTTCAACCAACTTATTAGGATTTTTTAACATACATAGATTCCACACATATTTGACATTTCAAATTATTGCATTCAAATTTAGGCAATACTTCCAAATTAATCATTTTTCGTATAGTTTTGAAGTTGACGTGACCTAAACGTGCATGCCATAAATTATTTAACTCAATTAAGTAAGTCGAAGCTTGAACTTTATTGATATCAATAGCTATTACATTCAACTTAAAAAGGCTCTCAGTTAGGTAACCTTTTCCTACATGCACATCATTCTTACTTATTACAACTTTTTCAGAAACAAACACACACTTAAATCCATTCTTGACAAGAAGTCTAGCAAAAACCAAATTCTTAAGAATTTCAGGAACGTGGAGTACATTGCATAGAGTCACAACTTTTTCTGAAGTTATGTTCAAAGATATCTTTCCAACTCTTCAATTTTTGTTGTTGCGGATTTTTCCATAAAGATAGTCTCGTCGGGCTCTACGGGAACATAAGAGGCAAATAACTCTTTGTTAACACAAACATGGCTAGTGGCTCTAGAATCAATCCATCACTCCTTGGGATTTCCTACAAGTTGCATTCAGATAGCATGGCACATAAGTCCTCAATTTCATCATTCTTTCCAACCATGTTTGCTTGACTCTTCTTCTTGTCCTTCTTCGGTACACGACAGTCCATAGCCTTATATTCAACCTTTCCACAGTTGTGGCAATTACCTTTGAACTTTTTCTTGATCGGGTAATTCTTTGGACTAGACGACTTCTTTCTCTTTCTGTTACTTGTAGACGTTTTCTCAACAATATTTTCTCCCATTATTGTTGAGTTACCACGAGACTTCTTCAGCAGTCTTGTTGTCCTGTTTAATCAGGAGACGAACAATAAGGTCTTCAAGCATCATCTCCTTGCGCTTATGCTTCAAGTATTTCTTAAAGTCCTTCTATAGCGGAGACAACTTTTCAATAAATGCCACAACTTGAAACGCTTCATTTATGACCATACCTTCAATCATAAATTTATAATTAGTAAAATAATCAATATCTTGAATAAAAATATTGACTCGATTTATACCTTCAGCAAGGAGGTCATGAACAATCACTTGCAGTTCTTAGATTTGCGTTATGACAGATTTACCGTCAACCATTTTGAAATTCAGAAATTTGGCAACCACAAACTTCTTAAGTCCAACATCTTCAGTCTTGTACTTCTTTTCAAGAGCATTCCACAACTCTCGTGATATTTTCATGACGTTATAAACATTGTACAAGCTGTCTTCTATGCAACTTAAAATATAATTTTTGCATAAGAAGTCAGAATGCTTCCATGCCTCTGTGACCACAAATCGCTCATTTTCAGGAGTTTCTTCTCCCAGAACTAGAACGTCCTCGCTGATAAAGCGCTGTAAACTAAGTGTGGCTAGGTAGAAGAACATTTTCTGCTGCTAACACTTAAAGTCCATGACGGAAAACTTTTCGGGCTTTTCTGCCGGTGCCATCGCCGGTGCAGGAGTTGTGCGACTTGAAGATGCAGTAGCCATTGGAGCAGTAGTAGTCCCAACAGAACCATTCTGTTGTTCCGTACTTGTTGTCATTTTTCTGTAAAATAAATTGACACAACCAGAATCAATAAGTCGGTGATGTTTTTATATCTTCAAACCGAATACAAACAACCGAGTAGAAAATCACAAGAATTTTAATCTCGAATTGAGTAGAAAGTCAGAAAGACTTTAATCTCAAATTGGAGTAGAAAATCCGAAGATTTTAATCTCCAAAACGAGAGTAGAAGATCGCTAGGATTATAGTCTCCCAAAGCAGAAAGTAAGATGAACACATAATATAAAATTAAATTCTTTAAGCTTGTTATAAACTTGTGTTCGTAAATAGAAGCAGAAACAGAATCCGAAGCCGAAACCGAACCGAGCGACGACAAGACGACGGCGCGAGGCACTACTTCTTCTTAACTCTTTAAGAGCTAGAAGATGTGCTTCTCTATTTAAGCACAAAGATTTTCTTTCCATTTTCCGATGAGGGACAAAGTGCTTTAGTAAAGGAAACAACTTCAAACTTTTCGTTTCCCTCCATTTCGTATTCACACCTCTTATCTAATTAGATAAAAAATCCAACACTTTTCGACTTTCGAAAGTGAGTTCTAGGTACGAGTTCACCTAAATATTACTCCCTACTTTCAATTTAGATGAGGTAGTTTGAATCGGCACGGAATTTAAGAAAAAGAAGAAGGCTTTTAAAACTTGTGGTCTTAAAAGTTTAAGGGATAAAAGCTTTGTGGGGCCATGACATTTGTGTGGTTATAAAAACTTCTCATTAAGGGTAAAATGAAGAGCTTAAAGTTGAATTATTTTCAAATTTAGAAATGTGTCATTTATTTTAGAACAAACTAAAAAGAAAAGTGTCTCATCTAATTTGAAACGGAGGAAGTACTTTTTTTTTTTTTTTTTTAATTTGGATTACTTATACATAAAAAATAAACAGATTTAAAATTTAGTATATTTTACCGGCTCTTATAAATGAGGCTATACAACTACAATAATATTTATAAATGAATTTTAAAACCGATCACATTATGCTTTGCCGGAGAAACCATCAAACTTGCCTAATAATAGCCGCAGACATGACTTTAACAGTGTCTATGGCAGAGAACCCGACCCACATTGTTTACATTATACGGCAAAAAAGACCTAGAAATCTATATGAATGTAAGAAGGATCGGGAGCCTGGAGTAACGGTAAAGTTGTATTCGTGTGACCTATAGATCACAAGTTCGAATCGTGAAAGCATTCATTAATTCTTGCATTAGAGTAGACTGTTGGGATGCGCCTCTTTCCCGAACCCTATATAAACACGAAATGTCTTATGAACACGAACTGCTTTCCTAATCTAGATAAATGTATGACGAGGAATACAATGTGATAAGTTCATGCAAAACAAGTTGTAGGTAACCGTAAGTACACCATCTTATTTCATAGAAAAGACTGGACTAGTGGTGTATGTTGCAGAGAACATGCATGGTCGTATGAGGTTCACTTTCCACAGAGGTTTTTTTGTCACCTTATCTAGACTTTGCAGGGGATAGCATTTCCTTCTAGAAGGTTCAACATTTTGTTGAAACGTGGTGTTTGAAGGGATGCTCATTCTTTTATTTCATTAGGGTTTTAATTTAATACAAAGTTGTATAGTGAAAGAAACGATTTTTGTTTAATAAACCAAACATGAAAAAGATGTCATTAAGGACAAAAAAAAAAAAAAACACCATATATAGTAGAGGCTGAATTTACTAATAAATTAAAGAATGATGATATTAAGTGGCGGAACTAAGTGCATTTAATGGATTCAATCGAATCTCCTTTATCGAAAATTATACTGTACAATTAAAGTAAAAATTTGGATTATATATAAGCTTTGATTCCTTTTGATATGAAGAAAAAATAGAGTGTAATAGTAAAGGAGTTTAAAAGTTGTCTTTGGTCATAAGTTCAAAGCCAACTATGATATCCTAGTATTTTTTTTAATCTCCTAATATAAATTTCTGCTTCCGGTACTGATGATATTAGTGGACTACTTAGCTTTAAGGAGAAAATAACAAAAACAATGTCCATATTATACTTGCAGTAGGTTTTAAATTGTCCATTAAAAATAATTATGAGCAGTTTTGGCTCTTTAAGTTTATCAAAAGTGAGCACTTTTGATCTCCATTAAAATTTAATAAATTCTAGTAGTAGAAACTTTGAAATAGAAGAATATAGTATGAACTCACATTTGAAGGTGCATTTTTACTTTCTTTTATTTTTGATTTATTTCTGGAGTCAAGTGCAACTTTTAGAGGTAGAGTATCTATTATTCATTTTTGGCAAACCTAAAGAACCAAAGTCACTCAAAAATATACTTAAAGGACGATATAGAACACATCAAATATAAAAGTTCATCTTTTGCCATTTTCTCCTATTTTAAGGAGAAACTTAGGTCGTTTGATATTGGGATAGAGAGACTATGCTTAAACTTTTTAAATAAAAAATCTTGAGATTATAACCACTAGTCTTTAATTAAAGTCTGTAGCAGTGGACATTTCCATTAAAAAGGTTTCCCCTGTATAACTTAATCATGAAATTGCTTTGCTAAGCTATAAAAGGTAGCTAATGAGGCTTTATGTGTCTAGAAAATGGTAATTTCTTATTCAAGTTGGAGTTATCTTAAGCAAGAAGGTAAAGAATCCTTAGGTTAAAATAGTTTACTAGTGTTGCTATTCCTATAATTAGGTCAATAAGGATTAAAGTATATCTAAAGGTTGTTAGAAAGGATAAGGATGAAGTGAGAAAGAGAATAAGGGGATGCATAGGAGATTCCTTCAAAGTTGGGATATTCTTTTTAAAGTATATGGTGTCTTTATATTTTGTGTTTTAACTTCTATGTGTCAATAATGTGAAAAACAAAATTAATTAGACTATCAACTCATCTAAAAAATATTTATATGTAATTGTTCACAATAAGTTGAATCGATAACATGAACATAAAAGTAAGCAACCTGCTAAACTTAATAATTTTAAGAATGTCAAAAGTTTTAATTTCGTTAATGTATATAAGTTAAATTATTTTTAAAAAATAGTTTAAAGGAAGAAAGAAAAGAAATGGAAAAGATTGAACTTTGAAGAAGATGCGCAAGGCGTGGGCAGGATTCCATTTCACATGCTTTGATGATTTGTTTAACGTTAATTTGGTGTCATGTTTATCCCGACAAGTCAAGGTCCTGTTTCCCATCTTGAAACTTGGGATTTTTAATAGGTAACACCTAATAAAGATTGGATCAGAACACCTAGTTCTTGGCAAATAAGAATCATCCCCATAATTATGTTCCTTAATACGTATTTGTTTAACGTTTTAATCAGTACTATATTTGATATCAAAGGTATCTTTATCATGTGACACAGTCATAATAACTTGGCACCTCTTCTTTTTCCTTCTTTTTTATTCAAAAGAAACTTTTATGCTTTAGTGGTCCTCATTTAATTATTGACTAACTTGTTATATTTATCTTATTTAATCCGTACATTTGCCCATTTAATTAACTGTTTCTTCTAAATGCCCAGCTTTATAGACAGCTACTATACCACTAAAACACACATGAAATTCCACTAATCATAGTATTTCCAAGACCAAAGGGATGCTAAACAAATCTTTTGAGGAGCCTTTTCTGTCTGTAATTTCCTTCACTTCCTATATCTCTTTATAATACTGATATTTTGGTAATTAACCTAGCAAGTTTCAAACTAATTCAAATTAATTATTCAGATGAACTAGTTAAGGTTGCATAAGTTTGTCCGGATACCATAATTGTAAAAAAAGAAAAGAAAAAGGTGAATTTCCTTGCCATAGATTTAATATGGCCCATACTAATGTAAATTTGACTTGTTATCCTAATATTCACATGTCATAAGCAAGGACCTGAGCTAAATATATGAATCAAACCTGATGGCTTGATGTAAAAAATGGCATTACGATCAGCTACTTTTACCAACGAATTATCCGGTAGAACCATATTCCTAGTGTTAATGCACGCTCCCCCCCCCCCCCCC